CATACACACATATTTTATGGTGTACATACAAACTTACTTACATTACAGTACAGTACAGTATGGGACAGTACAGGACATACATTCAGTTACATACATATAAACGGGCTTCGACACTGAGGAGGAAGCAGGGAAGCGAGAGACGCCAATGCGGCGGCGCATGCGGCGGCTCCAGCCTCGGCCCGTTTTGCACCCCTGAAGGGCAGCTGCTTTGGAGGGGTTGTGACGCTCGCACTCGGCAATACCAGGCGAGGTCTGAAGACGATGTACCTTGAGGTTTTTAGCTCAACTCGGATTCGGAGTCTGACAAAGTGAGACAAACTAGGGAAGAAGTAGTCAAAAAGGGTTTTAGGCTTTAGGGTTTTTCGGGTTCAGGGTTTTAGAGTTTTGGGGTTTTGCCGTTTTTCCCCTCCTGCTTAGCAAGGACGAGGCCCGCATTGCAGGGTAGCTTCGAAGCAACCGTTGACTACAGCTTCAGATTCCCGGTGTTTTTCCCTCTCGCATTGCTTGGAAGTCTATGCCCGCTCGCGAGGTGACTATGGGAGGTTTTGGGGTTTGGGGTTAAGGGCTTCAGAAATTGTAGGGGTTTTGGGTTAGGAGACCCAACTCTGAGTTTTTGACCCCTACGTGGCAGCGGCCACCATCGAGAAAATCCCAACTCTGGGTTCATTGGCACCGGGGCCCTGGTTTAGGCTCTCATCGAGACGGGGTATCTGGGGTGTAGGGTTTTCGCTTTGGGCCTTGCAACAAGGACCGCATGACTTCAATTGAGAGTGGGTGGGATTTTGTGATTTGGGGTTGGGCTTTCACAGCATCTAGTCGGCACACTCGGGGTTGGGCACGTGTTTTTTGTGGCTTCCGGCTTGAGGTCTGCAGCCCTATTGCACACCTCACTGCGACTCCAAGCAGCGGAGCCACACCACCATGACCATGGCTGGCTCGCTGCCACGGCGAGCAGCACCATGTTCCAAGTCGCCAGCAGACGGATGTGGTGCTCCGTGCCCGCAGGTCGGGGATGTTGTGTATCAGGGCGGGATCACTGAGATGCGAGGGGGTCCATGCTGCAGTTCGAAGCGGTGGCCCAAGGTTCAGCCATGACAGTGTCGGGATGGGCTGTCCATGCAGAACAGTACGGATGCACGGTGATACACTGGTACCTGGTACCGTCACAGCTGCACCAACGGACGGCGCTGCTTGATCACCGAGCCAAACCTCCTCGCACGAGCATGATCAACCCAAACTCTGAAAGGAATATTGCAGCATATTGCAGCACACAACCCACGGCATCACCAATCTGCAGTTTTGCATTGCTCGGGTGCCAACCATCCTCTTCGGTCATGTGTTCGAACTGAACCCGAAGCTAAATGTTCGAAACCCTCGTCTGGAGAGACTCCGTCTGGCAAGAATTGGGCTGTTGCTCTTCAAAGGTTGAAAATCTCAATTCTGAAGTCCAATCGAAAGTTGCGTCTTGCAGATTCTGGTACCTTGATGCATTCATTGCAGTTTTGTTAATGTTTTCAATGCCAGATCGTTGCGAGCTCTGCAAAGTGGCTAGGCTCTAAAACGTTCAACCCCAACCCAGAACTGCCATAACATCTCAACATTTTTTGCATGTTGTCCGTAGACTAGCTCTGGAGCATTGTGCCTGACATAACAAGTCGAAATCTCTTCAGGCTGATATGTCCCACAGGGCTGTGCGGCAGCCTAGGTCCCTGAAGCCACTGTAGATAGCTTTCGTAAGCCCATCGCTGCCAGCCCATCTTTCTGATGTTTCTCAATACTGAAGAACTTGCGAATCCTGTCAATTGGCGGTGGAAGCCTTCGCCTTACCTCATCCACTTCACCATCCCTTTTGAACATTTCACAAGCTGATTGCTCGGCAGCTCGTCTGTCAAGCAATGGGGCAGGCGTCCTTTTGGCAAAGGCTGTTGTGTTTCCTACTGACGACCTATGCCTGGCGAAGCCTCGGAATTCTCTGTCATTAAAGCCGCTCGTAACCAACACAGCAGTGATGCCTTCCGCACATACAGTGTGCTTGAAGTGGTACAAGTCCTTGAGGTTGCCGTTCACGTTATACCGTGCCAAGAGATTGTCAAGGCACGTGCGGGCGGACATCCTCGCGGACAACATTGTAACTACTCATCCGGAGCCCCACAACAAGTAATAAACACTGTGCTACTGTACTCCGCAACCTTGCTACCAGTAGTACAGTAATCAATGCTGCAATCAATCCAACTCTGCTGCAGGTGTTAATTTGGAACCCACGCCCAAAGTCAAATGTATACCGACTCATGTTCAACATGCTTTTCAAGATATCGGGCAAACGACGACGTGTGTGAAGATGTTCGCAGGCAACAGGCACCGCACAACCTGAGTCGTTTCCAAGATGGAGCCCTCTACCAGACAAAAACAGCAAGCTTGCAGTGTGCCGCGCCAAACTTTGATCGTAGACAGACATGTAGTAAGATACAAGTGCACGTCTACCCTGCTCGGCGCTCCTCTCTTACTGGGAATCCTGGATGCCGATTTCCTTCTCCAGGTTCCGAGCCATGTTCACAAAGTGCCCACTCCTTAAGAGCTCGAGAATACTGGCGGCAGCAAGATCTTTCTTCCGTGTCTGTTGTGGCTGCCCTTGAGGTGGCTGCTGTGCGTCATATTGAATGCACGCCTCGCAGTCACGATTCTGAACTTCTTGCTTTTCCTCGAACTTCTCCTGCTTATCGCTTGCGGCCGCTTCGTCTGGGTCACCAGGCTCAGGCTCTCCAAGCTGCTGCAGAGTCCGGCTCATATCGTTTTTGATGGGCAGTGCTGTGCTCTGGGAGAGCTGAGATGGGCATGAGGATGTGGGCGCTGAGGTGTTTTGACCTTGGAAAGCCACGTCGTCATGCAAATCCTCGGCAGCTTGCCGCTTCAGGTTGCCAGTCCAATTTGCATCAAAGATCGGGCGCTTCATGGCGCGTCACCGAGCTCAAATTGCAGTCTCGTGGCTGTTGCCAACAGTTCATGGGGATGGAAAGAAATCCTAAAGTTGCATGATCGAGCGAGTTTCTTCCAACATTCAAGAATCCATGGGCTCATGCCAGGAGTCAACGAACTGAGAGCCCAAGCCTCGTAGCGGCCCAGATCTTTGACATCACAGAACTTGGTGGCTTTTCAGTGACCACGTGGTTGCTCAACAACACAGAGCAACTCAACCGAGCCACACGCTGCCAAGACCCTCATGTCCGCCAGAAGATGCCAGAAGTCTCCTTATGAACGATCGTTATGGCCTGACCTGGGGTTCTTTGTCAAACATCCTGCAAATCTTTAAAGCAACTGACAGCTCGCAGTTTTTCCGCGCACGCCACGCATCGACCCCGCAGCCCCCTTGCCGGCCTTGCAATGTGCCAGATCCAAAAGAAAGGCATGCACAGTGCAACTAGATGGGGCTTGAGGAAGACTACAGCGCTTTTGGGCTTTGGATGGCTTTGGGGTTTGATGATGGTCCTGGTGTAATGAATCATGAAGCTCATTGGGGCGGGGGGGGGCGGGAGGGGGGGCGGTGTTGGATCGGGCTTTGGAGGCCGCCTTTCGGCTCTACGGAATCCAACTCAGCCGATCTGAAGAAGTCCGGACCCTTGCACGTGGCTTCTCTGAAGCTTGTCTGCTCTAGGAAATTCACTGAAGGTTCCGCTGAAGCTCCAAAATCTGCACGGCTGTGTTTGTGGCCAAGCCCCCAAGCTCAACACCGAAAACTTAAACCTCAAACCCAACGGTCACCCAGTTGTTGCACCAGGTGCACTGCGCCTGGCCGAACTTGAGCTTCAGGTTCCACAAGTAGAGAAATGGATCCCTGCCGTGGCTTCAACTCACGATTTTCAAGGGAAGGCTCATTGAGCTTTGCCCTCTGTGGCGTGGCAGGTTCTGCGTCCCTTCACATCCTAGAGCGATGTAACATTGGGAGGGAATGAACTACAGAATCTGAAGGCTTCTGTCGGATGTCTTGTCTTGTGGCTCGGCTCGAGTACCCGTTCAGGGCTTGCATCGTCAAATACTCAAACCCTAAACCCCGATTCCGAAACCCAGGACCCAGGCACGGGAGCTTTGCGCACCCTCCATATTCAACATCTGAACACCGTAGACTCCGTAGACCTCACAACAAAAACAACGCCTAAGCCCGAGGTCCACGGGCCATGAAATGTTCGACTTCTCCGATTTCACAGGCTCGATCTTGAGCTGTTTTGCTTTCACCTGTCATGGTCAAACTCAAGACTTGCCCCAGGCTCAGAGTCTTTCACGACGATGCACCCAAACCCATTGCCGGTGGCCGAACTCCGTCGTCGCATGGTTAGTCCGGTCAAGGCCTTTCGATCTCAAGGATACGGCTCGCGATCTCCACGATACGGCTCTGAGTCCAACTGACCCTGCACCGGCACAGTCCTGCGTGACCGTACCCACACGCCGCGGTCGCAGGCACATGCTCTTCATCGCATCCCACGGCAATCAGGGTATGAACGAACTTCAACCAACAAGCACTGACAGCCGGCCTCTGATCAACTGATCGTAAACAAATCGGGGCACGTGTCCCATCCTCGCACTGGAAAAATTTGATATGTGCCCAAGCAGGGCTACGCGTTTAGGGTTTGGGGCTCTCGGGCATAGCGATCAGGGCTTTGGGCTTGCGGGCGCAGCCGCAGCCGCAAGTTGCAGTTTGGACACCCGCAGGCACCGTCGGTGGCCAACAAGTAAAGATTACGAGCACAAACCCGTAAACTTTCAGGGCAAATTGCCCAGCCCTAGTAGCCCTAAATCCCAAAGCCTCAACAAGGCACCCTGCCCTTCTGCCATGTCAGAACTCTGTCTTGGTCGGACACATAGTCTCGCATAAACTTTGGTCAGTGAACCACCACTTTGCTAAACATGGTGCAAGTTCTTTCTTCTTGCTTGGCTGTCCAATTAGGCTTCGGAAAGGTCGAGAAAACTACTTCGGACCGCTAAGCGAAGCCCTGAAGGCGCCGGCCTGCTGCCATGATCGCATCCGAATGCTTGGAATGCAGCACTTGCGCCATTTTGCAAACTGGACACAGTGTTTCACTTATCACCAGACCGGGGCCTGAGATGGCCTGGGGCACCTCATGCCATACATAGGGTGCCAAGAGACCCGTCTAGACTTGCCTGGCCTGGATCAAGACCACAAAGCTCTTTGGGCTCTTCGACGCGGCGTTGGCATCTCGCCTCGCGCATCGGGCCCGCAAAATTGGGGCGCCAGGAAGTGGGGCGCAGAGTGGTAACAAGCGCATCTGATGTGACATGTTGTAAGCTTGCGATTCCGTGCGCGAGTACTCAATGACGCATGCAGGGAAACCAAAGGCGAGGGCGAGAATCTCAGGCACAAAGGCGCTGATACGGGACTATTGCAGTCTCTGCAAGGTGGTGAGGCTATCAAGCGCACTAAACCCCAACCCAGAACTGCCATAGCATCTCAACGTTTTCTTGCTCGTTGCCCGCAGACATGCTTGCGCTTGCGCATAGCTCCGGATGGGCCACGGCACTAGCTGGTGTCATGGGGATACTGATGTGACAAACGATGAGCCCTCCAAGCTGGAGAGCAAAAATCTTAAAATGCCATGCTGAATTGACTGACAGCGCCACGCTTTTCTGAGCTAGGCAAGGCTCTGAGGGGAAGTCCACAGATATTTAAGCTGTGCCAAAGGATCGGAACCTACAGTATGTTCAAGAGGCCCCAAACACTCGAAGCTCTCGCAGAACTATAACAAAATGGCGAAATCTCTTCAGGCTGACATGTCCCACAGGGCTGTGCGGCAGCCTAGGTCCCTGAAGCCACTGTAGATAGCTTTCGTAATATCCGATTGGACAGCTTTCGGATGAAAGCCCATCGCCGCCAGCCCATCTTTCTGATGTTTGTCAATACTGAAGAACTTGCGAATCCTGTCAATTGGCGGTGGAAGCCTTCGCCTTACCTCATCCACTTCACCATCCCTTTTGAACATTTCACAAGCTGCTTGCTCGGCAGCTCGTCTGTCAAGCAATGGGGCAGGCGTCCTTTTTGCAAGGGCGGTTGTGTTTCCTACTGACGACCCATGCCTGGCGAAGCCTCGGAATTCTCTGTCATTAAAGCCGCTCGCAACCAACACAGCAGTGATGCCTTCCGCACATGCCGTGTGCTTGAAGTGGTACAAGTCCTTGGGGTTGTCGTTCACGTTATACCGTACCATGAGATCGTTAGCGCACTTGCGCGCGGACGTCCTCGCAGACAATGTTGCTACTTCTCATCAAGAGTCCGCTAGACAGCACTGTAAAATTGCTACTAATCAATGCAGCAATCAATCAAACTCTCCTACAGATTCTTGATGATCTCAGAATATCGAACCCACGCCCAAAGCCACGTGTGTACCGACCCATGTGCAACATGTTTTCAACATGTCGGGCAGACGACGATGTGTGTCCACATGTTCACAGGCAGCAGGCAAACATGCGCAGGGCAACCGACGTCGTTTCCAAGACGAGGCTCTGTACGATATTCAGTACAGCAATACCGCGTGTTGACTTGAAAGAGCATGCTTGCGGTTTGCTCTGCTGTACTGCTATACTTTGCTAGTAGACAGCTATGTATTGAGATATACGTCTGCCCTGCTCGGCCGCTCCTCTCCCACTGGCAATCCTCGATGCCGATTTCGTTCTCCAGATTCCGAGCCAGCTTTGCAAAGTGCCCACTCCTTAAGAGCTCGACAATATCGGCGGCAGTAAGATCCTTCTTCCGGATCTGTGGCTGCCCTCCAGGTGACAGCTGCGCGTCGTCTTTAACGATCGCCTCGCTTTCACCATTCTGAGGTTCTTCCTTTACCTCGAACTTCTCCTGCTTTATGTCAGCCTCCCAATCGGCCCAACTATTGCTTGCGGTCGCTTCTTCGGATTCTTCGAACTTCTCCCGCTTTAGATCAGCCTCCCAATCTGCCGGATTATTGCTTGCAGTCCATTCTTCGGATTCGAGCTTCTCCTGCTTGACGTCAGCCTCCCAACCGGCCCAATTATTGATTGCAGTCGCTTCTTCGGATTCTTCGAGCTTCTCCTGCTCTACGTCAGCATCTGCAAGCTCCCGCAGACTCCAGCTCATTTCGTCTTTGATTGGCAGTGCAGTGTTCTGGGAGAGCACCTCGTCTTGAGAGAACTGAGATAGGGATGAGGATGAGGGCGCTGAGGTGCTTTGGGAAGCCATGTCATCATGCGAATCCTTTAGAGCTTGGCGCTTCAGGTTGCCAGTCCGATCTACACCAAAGATCGGCCGCTTCATGGTGCGTCATGGAGCCCAAGCTACAGTGGCATCGTGAATGTCTCGTCGCTGTGCTTTCCTTTCTGCCCTATCTCCAGCACGTTTCCAACAGTTCCTGGGGATGGAAAGAAGTCCTAAAGTTGCATGATCGAGCGAGTTTCTTCCAACATTCAAGAATCCATGGGCTCATGCCAGGAGTCAACGAGCTGAGAGCCTAAGTCTCGTAGCGGCTCAGATCTTTGACATCACAGCACTTGGTGGCTTTTCGGTGACCATGTGGTTGCTCAACAACATAGAGTCATAGAGCAACTCAACCGAGCCACGTGCTGCCAAGACCCTCATGTCGATGCCAGAAGTCTACATGGGAACGATCGTTATGGCCTGACCTGGGGTTCTTTGTCGAACATCCTGCCTTGCAATGTGCACAGATCCAGAACAAACGCACGGCCTGAGGAAGACTACAGCGCTTTTGGGCTTTGGATGGCTTTGGGGTTTGGTGATGGTCCTGGTGTAATGAATCATGAAGCTCATTGGGGGGGGGGGGCGAGATAGCCGACACCTCGCCCCAGTCCTCTATGGAACCATTTCGCCAACTCGGCGCCCAAATCTCAAGCCAAAAATTCCCGAAACCATATTCCCGAAATCCCGAGCCCAAATCTCAAGCCCAAAATTCCCGAAACCAAATTCCTTTAATACGCTTAACCCTATTACGCTTAACCTTAACCCCTAAACCCCAAAAAATATTCAACCGGTCAGCCCAAAACCCCGCAAAACAATATCCCGAAAATCCCAAGCCTAAACCCAAGAAAAAACACCTTCCCCCATAAATCTCCGCTATTCCTCAACCCGTAACCTTAAACCATAAACCCAAGAATAACAATATGCCTTATAGTTGGGGCGAGGTTCCTCTAATGAAATTTAATATTATATTATATAATATTAAACTACATTAAATCGGATAGTTTGGTGCACGATTCCTACACGTTTCAATTATACCAAAATCATTTTTTCCAATCGTTCTTTACTACAAACATATCTATTTCCCTTTTTATGAATATTTAGAATGTGTCCGTATTCTTTAATCATCTTGTCACGGCGGTATTCATACATATCAATGTGTTTCACATCACTTTCATTATGAAGTTTCATCATTGCGTATTTAATTGGAACAAAGTTTTTAGTTTCGGTTTTTCTTTCGGCATGATTATTTTCACTACATAATAAGTCTAACTTTTTGCATATAAAACTGTATTCGGTGTCTATCGTGTATAAGTTGTCTATTCGTTCAATTATCTTATCGTATCTGTTGCATTTATTGCATTTGTATGCATAAGTATAAATATTATTATTAACATTGTCTGGTAACTGGAACTTTTCAAGAATACAGTGATCCTCATGTTTTTTATAATCCTTACAATTACAACATTTCTTTTCGTTAATCAATTCTAATTTATAATCTTTTATTTTAATAATATTTAAGAACTCTTCGATAATATCTTTCCGTTCGATTTCACTGAACATTTCCATGATAATATATAACGTGTTATACCTTTAAGCCGTTTTGTGCCATGATATCTCATGGTCTGGGGCAAGGTGGTTCTAACGAAATTTAATATTATATTATAATAATATTAAACTACATTTTATGAATAGCCATGTAAAAAACAAGGGTTTAACGCCTTTTAAACCCACTAAAAAAACAAGGGTTTAACGCCTTTTAAACCCACTAAAAAATAAGGGGTTTAACACCCTTTAAACCCACCAAAAAATAAGGGGTTTAACACCCTTTAAACCCACCAAAAAATAAGGGGTTTAACGCCCTTTAAACCCACTGAAAAACATTAAAACACTCCCCACTGACGTTATGGATGTTTTAAACCTTTAATAACTCGTGACGTAAATACCCGCGCCCATTGATATAATAATGCTTTTGTTCCAATACTGTTTTAATATCATCAATACTATACGAATTCGCGCTCCAATTGCTCACCCTTTCTTTATCCAATTTATCTTTTTTCTTAAATATCTTGACTTTGTCGCCTTTCTCTAACTCGGGATACTTTCGGGTTTTTGTTGCATTCATTGCGATATTAGACTTAACTTTGAGTTCGTTTTCGGGCTTTCGTGCTTCTTTCGGCACTAACCCAGTCGCGGAATGAATCATTTTATTATTATACGTTATCATTATCTCAAATATATAATCAATCCATTGAATATTCTCTTTACCCTTTTTCTCATCCGCTTCAACTCTCTTAAATAACATATCCTTAAAGGTGCGCACAAACCTTTCTGCAAATGCTGGGTGTGTTCTGGTTTGGTGCGTTTCTATTTTCTCCTTGTCAAAATATTCGTTTAATACACCACTGTTTAAACTACCTTCTTCGTCCGAATATACTAATTCTGGTTTCTTCCCCATTTTGTTTATTCCTTCCATTATTCCCGCTAATAAATCTGGTGGTTGCTTACTTTTAATCGGAACAACAACTGCAAATTTACTAAATATGTCTATCATAACTAAACCAATTCTAAACTTTTGATTCTCCAAATCATTATTTGTAATAAAAAATAAGTCTATTTGATATTCATAATACGCATAAGGCGCAATAAACGAATTAAATCCTGACATTGGTCTTTTCCTATCTACGTTCTTGTCATACCATGCTTTAACATCCGCTAACGTAATACTCTTATCTTTGGCCTTAGTATCTTTAAACGTAACAGCTTGCGACCCAAACCCGCTTCTATCAAAGTAAATATCGGAAATAATCTTATCTTTATTAGTATTACTCATAATAATAAAGATGAGATTTAAATATTATTATTGTTCTGATTCTTGTTGTTATGTTCGTAAATACTGTTTATGTCGTTCGCTTTTTTCGTGACGTGCTTTATGATCATACGTATATTGCTTACCACAACCACACATTATTTTCTCAGATAAACGGTCTTTTCTCTTTTGATAATATTCTTTCGCGCGTTCATTCACCTTTTCCCTGTTAAGGTCATCGTGAATCTTCCTTTGATAACGTAAATAATCACGATTCTCATAATAATATTCTCTTTGCTTTTCCAGAAGATGTTCTCTATGTTCATCCTTGTATTCTTGTCGTGTTCTACCAGACACAATTTTATTCACACAATCATTTTCTCTTATGTGCTTTCCTTCTTGTCTGAGCAATTCCTCTCGTGTATGGCATTGGAAATTCTCAATTAGTTCAATTTTACAATTTTCCACACCATATTCAGCAAATATTCTATTTACTCTCCTGTCACAATCTGCTTTGTTATTCATGTATTGTTTATATTTTTCCTTATGTTTGGCAAACCTGTTACATAATGGTTCGCATGTTGAACCTATATATGTCATTGTGTAGCCAACATCGACAATCTTATAAATCTTTCCTTTTTCATACCTATTCATCCTCTAACTAATATAGCCAATATATCTTTAAACCCTTTCACCTTGCGCAACAATTGCAAAGGATACACTTACTGTTGCAATTGTTTATATAATGTGCTTTTTCATTGTCAAGCCTATTAGCTGTTAAATTGGTAGTGAGCTTGTGGTCAACCCTTTCAACTACAAAGGGTTCATTACAGTCGGCACATCTGTTTTTTAATTGACTCATAAGCCACTCAACATTTACATAGTCTTCTTCGTTTATTGGGCGTCCTGCTTCTATATCTTGTGATTTGTATTGTTTAACCTTTTGGTTAAAATATCGTTCGACTTCAAGTTCTTTAATGTCTCGTGTTATTTCATACTTATAGAATTTCACTTTATTTAAATCTTTACTACGTGTAAGGGCTGTATACAGCCACTCTTTCGAAACATAATTATACATCCAATCGTAAATAATAACATCCCCATCTATTGAACAACCTTGTTTACTATGGCATGTGTAACATGAGGCATAAATAGAATTTTGTCTCAACTTTTTTAGGCTTATTTCTTGTAGTAGCCTTGTAGCATTTTTAAGCGTTACCATATTCTTATTTATTTCCGTAATTCTGAACTTAAGATTAACATTAAACTTAGACGTCCAATATCTCGTATAAACACGACAAATAACTTCATCGCCTACGACATATTCTTCGTTTATACCTCTTTCTTTTCTAATATGTTGCGTTACTTTTCTACATGTTTCGTTGGTGTATGCTACATTGTTATCAATTTGTTCTATCTCTTCTGTGTATTTAAAATATTTCTCAATAATCTGTTTAATTGTCATGTCCGTTTTAAAAATGTCGTGATAAATATTTTTTAGTTTGATTCTGTCTTCTACATTGGTTAATCTCTTGCATTCTTCTAAATAAATGTAATGTTTAAAAATTTGTTTTATACAACTGTCTAAGTATGTCCTATAATCTTGCGTGTTAGTTATATCCACAACGCCTTGCAATTGGTGTTCGTCGCCTGTCGCTACAATAATTTTATCGGGGTTCTTTTCTACAAATGTTTTTATTCTTGCTAGGACGGGAATACTGTTAAAATAAATTTCGTCAAAAACGATAACATCAAAAAGGGACTGGTCAAAATCTTTCAGTTTTTCTTCGCCGACTTGGATAGAAAAGAATGTATTAATGGTTACTGCTTCTACTCCACATTCTTGACTTAAATTGTTCGTGGGCGTTACGAACAATATCTCTTTATCTTGTATCTGCTTAGGTATATGTGATTTTCCGCTTCCTGCGAATAAAGCTTTAATTAAAACATGCTTATATTCAAGAACTTTCTCAACTGCTTCCTTGCTATCCCATTCGTCTTTTAATATAATTCTTTCATTAACAACTTCGGGTATTTCTATTGGTTCGTTCTTCTTCATCTCATACTGTTGATGGGGGAACCCAAAGTTATTTAAAACACCTTTCCAATCACCAATCTCTTTACCAAACTTCAATAACTTCATGGCTTTCTGCAAATCCTTCCTTAATATTGTAAATGCATCTGTTTTAACGCTAAAGACATCGATGTCGTTTTCTCGTAGTGTGTTATAATCCTTGTATATTCTGTAATTATG